GTAATTTTGTAATTATATTAAATATTAAGTATTCTCCGTAAAAGTTATAGTCAAAAAACTCTAAAATAAAACTTTTGGCTTTATATATAAAATTACTATAAACCTGCTGTGGTTTTTTTGTAACTTTTAAAAAAATAATTTTAATAAAATTATTAAATACATATATATATATAAAAGTGTTGTATAATTATCTGAAAAAACTCTCAACCGTAATCCCAAACGCATCCTTAGAAGTTAACTGGAGGCATTCAACTTTTGTAACTGCCATAGTTGAGCCCGTTAACTTCCTAATGTACTAAAGGCGACAATAAAAGACAGAATGAACTCAAGAATTACTTAATTCACATTGGATCCTCAGCCCCGTTTGATTTTTCATGCAACAGACCACAACAAAACTCTTTATTTCATAGTAGGAGTTTAACAAGTACGTCTATATATTGTTTCTTACCAATTCAACAGTCTTTGTCTCTTTTGTGATTATTTTCTCATAAATACATTGGTCCGAAATTAATTTCAAATTCTAAGAAAGACAAAGCCCGTTTAATACAAGGACAGAGATCTTTTTAACATTCTCCACGTTCATATCAATATGATTCATCTGATAACATGTTTTCAGTTTTGTCTATGCAAATCCAGTAAATCGTACACAACAGTGAATATTGCATCGTCCTAATTCCCGCGTACTGTGAATTAACTTTGGGAATATTGTACACCCAGCTGCATCCCAAACATTTTATTCACGGGTACTGAAATATGGTCCTTTTTGATGTTGGCTGGTTAACGCAGCACATGTCTAGGGGCCAACATTCACTTCACAAGATGTGTATATAGGGATGTCTGCTATGGCTTTCTCCACCATTGATTGATTGCCACAGAGAAATATTTAAAACTCCAATTATCAGTACCAGAGAACGGCTTTATATTGTTAATTAACATCATCTTTTATAAATGTTTAGATCTCATGTCGCGAACAACAACGTATACTTGTTTCTTTAATTTCATATTTGGACCATATATCTTGTCATAGTGACATTATATGTACTTGTGATTGTTCAATTTGAATCATGTATTTCATACTTACCAAACTTGACAATTGTGATTTTTATTTTGACTTTGACTTTAAATTTGAGATTTTTAAATTAATGGATACTAATTTGGTAAGCTCTTATTGATAGAATTATTACATTTTTGTGAATTATAAACCGGTCCCTGATGGTATGTTTCCATGTGGTTTTGTCTGGTAAGGATGGACAAGGGCATTTTTCCATTAATTGTGGCTTAGGTAGCTATCGTTATGAACACTACTTTTATCAAAATTCAAGCCTCCACATGTCCCCTCCCCAAAAAGACCAAAGTGAATGCTCAGCACATGTATCCATAAGTACTAAAAGCTACGTTTGATGTCTGTTTCTTGCTCCCATCTGCTCCATATGAGCCTTGCTAATTGGTTATCCGGCAATGTCATTTTCCCAAGCTACTGTTCTTCAACATTGCTCCTACAACAAAACACAAGTATCTTTTTGCTTCAAAGCATCCCGACCCATCAAAGAAACCAATTCAACACTACCACCATGGACTTCCAAACAGTGCATTTAATTCTTTTCAGTTAATGGTTTGCAGCTGTCCAGGTAGAGTCTAAAAGGAAAAAGAGATAAACTTTGCCTCTTTAAATCAAAGTTGACAATATCTTATGTTGTTCTGGAAAACAATCACAAGTTTTGAAAGTTAGGGGTATCAAAAATTCAAAATTTTAAAATAGTTGAAACTTTAGAATGAAGAATAAATATGACTACTATCTAGCCAAAGCCTAAACAGTGAATAACTTGCATTTTGCCCTTAAAATTGTCCCTTTTTTTTTAATGTTTTCTCACTCAATTTTGACTTTGCTTCAATCTGTACATAATAAATGTTGAATACTGTTTCAAGATGGAATTCAAATATTCCTAATTGAGCATCTTCAACTTTTGGAAGCTATAGGGCGTCTTTGTTTACCGCCTAGAAACAGCTGCAGGGCATAAACTTTTGCTTGGAAAATGACTGGAAATGGTGGCTACCAAGGAAGAAGTTGCTTGCGTTTGATATGACTTCCGAAACTTGGAAAATCTGCTTAGCTTAGTCGCCTAAGCTTGGTTTAGTCAACTATAATTTGCACCTTTCACGGAAAGGCAATGTTATTGGTGTGCAACAGCCATTCTGGAAAACCAGAAGCCATTTCCAGGTTTGGCCATTCCCTGGGAAAATGGCCCGACCAAACACACTCACAGTTGTAATTTGTAAATGCATTTTGAATACCCAATAACAATTGAACCCAGAATTCCCAACCCACAGATTTAAGGCTACATATGTTTCATTATTTTTGTTTGGTCTTCTACACCTACTCTCTAGTAATCTAGTACTGAAATTGGAGGATTTACTGCAATATATTCACAGATCACAAACACAAATATTATTGATAATTTCAACGGGAGAACCCAAATCTAACATTTCCATGCAAATTTTCCTAGTAATGATGCCAATTCAAAAGTAGTTTATTTGGATTACGTACTACAATGCTTCTTTTCTTTTTTCTTATTTCTCGTAATCTTAAGTTATACAATGAGAGATAATCCTTATTTATCTTTTAACTTATTTTACATGTCATATGATTTAAATTCAAAATCTTTTATTTTTATTAAAAAAAATTATCATTAAATTATTTATTTATTCACATGTTGTGATTTTTTAAAACAATAGAAGAATACATCAAATTTTTACTCATATATATTTTACCTCCAGAGTGATGGGTAGATCTGAGGTAAAGAAGATTAGAAGTGTGCTTTTAATGCCTCACCAGACATGTTTTGTCTTTTACATAGTGGAGCCAATACCCCTTTTGTCTTCCTCTTCTTACCTATGCGTGTGTTCAGTGTGCTTGTGATGGATTTGAAACAGAGGGCCAATTTCACTCAAACCCCACTGAAGATTTCCTGCACAACTTTTAAAACCACACGGTTTCAATCAATTAAGCCCCTGAAAAACCACTTTCCAAGTTTTCATCCCTATGAAAACTTCATTTCTTTTTTGTTAATCCTCTTATTTGCACTTTGTACATTATTTTTTTAGTCAACACCCTTTATAATTTATATTTTTAATCAACACCTTTTATAATTTAAAACTTATAAAAACTCACAAATTATCAACAAAATTAAGGTGCAAATAAGGAGTTTCACTGTTAATTTTTGAGTTTTTTATTTGTTTTAAATTATAAAAAGTATTGACTAAAAATAAAACTTTCGAAGATGTTAATCGCGAAAAAAAAAAAAAAGTGCATAATGCAAATAGGTTTGGCTTCCTTTTTTTCCCCCCAAAAAAATCAGGCTTAACAAGCGCACCACTTTTCTTTTAAAGTTGCATGGTCCCAACAGTAAATGAGGTCAGTTTGGTCCGGTCTGATGCTGATATCCCTCTATTTATTCCCTTCAAACACCCCTTCCTCTTCATTTCTACAAGCAACATTTTTCAAGTTTCATCTACTTGGTAAACAAGCTTTCATTCCCCTTCCACTTTTAATTTCTTCTTCTTTAAAGCAGCCTTTTTTTTTGGGGGGGAGAGGGGGAGTGGGAAATTGTTTTGGAGAGGAATGAGTTTCTTTGTCCTTTTTTGCAGGAAAATGGCCCTTTTAGAGATTTTTGTATTGTGGGTTTTCTCAATCATGTCATATGCACATGGGTATCACAGAAACCTTGAATACTATGGTGGTGCTTGGATCAATGCTCATGCCACTTTCTATGGAGGTGGTGATGCCTCTGGAACTATGGGTATGCCCATGTATATTCTAGCATTGACTAGAATAGATGTAAATGTTGGTGTTTACTCAGTGCTCTAATTTTGGGCATTGTGGCAGGTGGAGCTTGTGGCTATGGGAACCTGTACAGCCAGGGGTATGGCACCAACACGGCAGCATTGAGCACTGCTTTGTTCAACAATGGCTTGAGCTGTGGTGCATGCTTTGAGATCAGGTGTGTCAATGACCCACAGTGGTGTCTTCCTGGCTCCATTGTAGTCACTGCAACAAACTTCTGCCCTCCAGGGGGCTGGTGTGACCCTCCCAATCACCATTTTGATCTCTCTCAGCCTATCTTCCAACATATTGCCCAGTATAGAGCTGGAATTGTCCCTGTCATCTACAGAAGGTAAAAATTTCACACCAAACCATAGCTGAATTATAATTTACCTCTAATAACCCTAGGAATTGGCTTAATTGTCAAGTAAGTGCATCTCCACTTGTAGAGACCATAGAAAGTAATTTTTATTAAAATGTCTATTTTCTTTATCATAGAGTATGAAACCAAAAAAGAAATTTAATTTTTTCATCTAGTTTGCTAGTTAGGAGGCTAAGTTATCAATGAAATGGGGGTCTTTTGCAGGGTGAGATGCAGAAGAAGTGGAGGGATTAGGTTCACAATCAATGGTCATTCCTACTTCAATTTAGTACTCATCACCAATGTTGGTGGAGCTGGTGATGCTCACTCAGTAGCAATCAAGGGGTCAAGAACCAGATGGCAGCCAATGTCAAGGAATTGGGGTCAGAATTGGCAGAGCAACTCATACCTCAATGGACAGAGCCTCTCTTTCCTTGTCAAAACCAGTGATGGCCGCAGTGTGGTGTCTTACAATGTTGCACCTGCTAGCTGGTCCTTTGGACAAACATATACTGGAAGCCAGTTTAAATATTAAAAAGTATTAACCATCCATGATCCATTCCATGCAGAAATGACGCAGAGCTTCCCCTGGTTCTGGGTTCCGTAATGCTATAAAGGGTTATTCTTTCTTGGGTCAATCGTAATTTTAGAAATGGCCCTAGTGTATGTAGTAAGTGTTTGCAGTTCACTCCTTTGGCTTCCTATTAGCTTGGAGAAGTAATTGCTTTGAGGCTTGAGAGGAAGAGAATTTATTGGGGGAATATTGATTATGATCTGTTTAATTATTTTAAGTTAGGTAGTGAATTTTACTACCCATTTGGTACTACGATGTAATGAAATAGAAGTTCTTCAAGAATACTAGAAAGGCAATTATGCCTGCTCTACCTGTTTGAGAACATGTCACTTTGTCATCTTGCTTTCAGCTGATATTCCCTCTTTCTTGTTTTATTTAAGAGGTCTGCAATTAATTACTCGTTTGGCACTAGTATATGGTGAGTTAATACTCCAAGAAATTTAAATTTTTTAAGTATATGTATCAAAATAAAAAATGTATTTTTAAAATTATTTGAAGAAAAATTAATAAAAAAAATTACATGTGAACTAATTTATATACACCTTAATTGTTACAACTAGTAAAATCCAACCATTAGTGAATTAAAGAAACTATTTGATAATTTGAATGGTTTTTTTTTTTTTTCCTTTTGTACCTAATGATTGGTAGCTCTTTGTTTGTTTGTTTGTTTTTTTTTTTTTTTTCCTTTAAATAAAATTTTCTGTATATTAATCTACAAAACATAATACATGTATAGATTTATGGGCACCGTTATGGCCAACCCTCATAATATTAAGTCCATTAAAAATAAATTAATTTTATTTAAAACTATTAATTTAACTTTAATTGATAAAAATAATTAATAATTATAATTATTAATTTATAAAATAGTTAATATTTATTAATTAATAAATTAATATTTTTAAATATTATTTTTAAAAATTAAAAAATTAATGACTTAATATTTTATATGGTGAATATAGCCATAACCCTACTTTAGATTTATAGGTTTTCTAATATTCGTACTTTTTAATAATCATTCTCGCCTATTTCTCCAAGTTGCAATTTCTGCTCGAAGCCAACTAGTTCCCAACTGTAACCAAACAGGTCTTTAATACAAGGGTTGGGAGGAACATATGGGTGTGATCCAGGTTGGCTAAATGACATGGGAAAAGTGATAGCATCTAATCCAAAGATATGTCAAATTTCGGTGATGGACCCATTTTAATTAACATGGATCTTATGAACCTTCATTCGAATCTTCATTCTAGATGTCCACCTCAGTCACTTGTAACATTAATTACTTAAATGTTGGGCTGTTGGGAATTGAAAACCATTTAAATTGACAAATACCGGCAGTTGTAATTATAATAACAAATTTCACGATGTCCCTAACCAAGAGAAGAGCTAACTTGAGCATCTGAAATGGAATTTAGAAGGTAATATTTATCAGCCTCAGTTGTAGTTAAATAAATTATTGGTATATTGAAATTTGTCAATAAACAAGTAGATTCCTCATATCATTAATTTGAATTTCTCATTAATTTGTGAAATTTTATTTTTAATTAAAATATGGATGAGGAATCCAACAATCTTGGTTGTGGGAAAGGAATATCAAAGGCTAAACCCTCCATTTACAATCTGGACATTATTGTTTTCATAATCAACACCTTTTAGAATTTTTATTTTCAATTAATATTATTTAAAATTTAAAATCTATAAAAAAACTTAAAAACTAACGGTAAGACCCCATATTTGCATTATAACTTTGTTAATAATTTGTGTAGCCAATGAGAAGTCCTCTGAAACAATCCTTGATCATGAGTAAGGCAATTTCTAAATCTGCCATATTTTATTAAGAAAATGATTGATATACTTTTTAAGATTTAATAAATCTTTTGACATTCGTTTGGTTCAATCGTTAAAATATAATATAAATATAATTGATTTAGCTCATTCTTATATATTGTATATATAATTATATTTTTAAGTTTGTTTGTCTTTAATTTTAAACAAATAATAATAATTTTTTAATAAATATATTGTGTGACATGTTAAACTAGATAATGTACTAATTAATTAGTGTTCATCTTATTATTAGGATGAATAAAGAAATGAAGAAAGAAAAAAGGAATAGTGTTAAAAAGGAGATTATATGAATCTAGAGTAATACATAAAAATGAGAATTTTTCTAATTTCCATGGTAAATTGAAGGATTCATAAAGGATTATCATTTAGTCAAACAAATGAATCTCAGTGCATGGCCACTAGAATGATGGTGTTTATTTAAATTTTGCATTTGTGTCCACTATTAAGTTCATATTGAAAAAATGATTGTTAAAAAATTTATTGCACTATGCTGAGTTTCTAAATTGATAGGAACTTTGCCTAAAGACATTATTATTATTATTTGGTACCTCTATGTATTGATAATACTTTTAATTTCAACTATTATAACATTGTATGATACGGTAGCATTTCCATTTCACTTTCTTTATCACGATGTCTTTTTCTCTAGAAAAATTGAGTTGAACATAGGGGTGGCAATTTGCCTTGACCCCCACAGGATCCATAGGAATCCTGCCACAGAGATGGAGTGAGGAGGAATATTCCTCTCTGTGGGCGGGAATGAGAGGCATTTTTCCCCATGAAATTACGCAGGGAATTTTTCCTGTGGGGTGGGGATCCCTATTCTCACAAAAAATTAAAAAATATATAAATTAATTTTATTTTAAATTTAATTTAACCCATTATAGCAATACATAATATACATTTCAAACCCAAACTCAATCCAATAAAAATTAAACTTAACTCAAGTATGTTGGTTTAGCTATATATGTTGGATTGATCTTTATTTATGTTTGGAATAAGTCTTTGGTTTAATTATTTATGTTGAATTGATCTTTATTTATGTTTGGATAATTTATCTTTGATTTTATATTTAGAGAATTTTAGTTAATTATACTTGAATTTTTAGAATTTATTCGTTGTAATTGAATATTGTTAATTATATAAAAAAATTATATTTTTGATATAAATTAGTGAGAAATAGGGATCCCTATTCCCTGTGGGGAACGATGATTGAAGGCAAAATCTATCTCCCATCAAAAATCCCGACAGGGATCCCCGTCCCTACCATTCATGAGGACAAGGATGGGGAGGGACTCTCCAGCCTGGCGAGGCCCGTTGCCATCCCTAGTTGAACATGTTATTAATTGGTGTAATATTTTGCTCTACCACTAGAAGTTTGGGTTAATTTGGTTAGCTTCTTGACTTCACCATCACCAATTAAGTTTAAAATTGAGAAAATTGTAGAAGCTACTCATTTAAATTATGTGGGACGAGTCACTTAAAACAAGATCTGTATAACAATTAAGATATGAGAGTACAATTAGAAGTGAGAAAAAGAATATGCATCACATAATCCTCTATATAACATATAGTTGCATACTTTAACATTGGAAATTTATTTCAACATTTAAAACCTTTTCATGTGAATGGACTTAAATGAAACATTTAATCAAATAAAGTTAGGGATTGAATTGAAACAAATTTAAAAGCATGGGCCATATTGAGACTTGAGGGACCAATTTGAACCAGATTGAAAGAGCATGGACAAAATTGAAACTTTATTCAATGCATGAATCAGAGTGATTAAATTGAAAACCTAAAGAACTGAAATAAATGAAATTGACACTTTTGGGTCAAATTGAAAAAGAATTTTAAGCTTTTTAAAAAGATTTTTGATTTTTTTTAATGTTTGACTTTGACCATTTGAATCAATTAAGATTAATGAAGCAACAGTTAGACATTTTAATCCCAAATTAATCAAAATTAGTCAAGATTAATTAAAGTTGATCAATATCCTTAATTAAATATTGTAATTAGGTTAATAAAAAATTTTAATTGGTGCTAATTAGACTAATTAATTTAATTTAATTTAAAGTTAATCACCAATTATCTTAATTGGTGTTAATCAAAGATTAACCATTTTCAAGTAAATCAAGTATTGTTATTATTATTATTTAATGTAAAAAAGTCATTAACATTAAAGTCCAAAATCCTTTATTCTTCTCACCTTTAAGGCCCAATAACAAAGCCCGACAACAATATAGGCCCAATAATTTTTTTCTATGCCGCTAGACTTGGGTCAACCCGACCCATGAACTCAAACCTGTCAACCAAGAGTGTAAAAAACACTTCGGCAACTTCATCCAAAATTCCAGAAAGCAAAAAAATGAAGACAAACACAGCAACTCATATGCGAAAAAACAAGATTTGAACATAAAAGAAAACATGCTTAGAATATAAATGGCATTTCACACAAATAACAGGAAGAATATGAACATCTTATTCATCATTTTCTTGAGTTCATTGTTGATTTTAGCCGTGACAGCAAAGCTACAAATGTCCTGCAAGCTTTTGAAGTTATAGCACAGTGAATGGCTAAAGTAATGAAACAAGGCAATTGTTGCTTAGTTATCTTTTGAATGTAATTTAGGAAATAGGTTGTTGGTTTCAAAGTTCAGTTTGTATTGATATGCTGTCCATTTTCTTTTTGTTTGTTGATACGTTGACCATTGGCTGCTTACAAGTAGACAAGACAGCACAACCTTAGGAAGAAAAGTAGAAGTCAACTCTTAACTTTTTCATTTTTACTTTTTGTTATGTACAAAAGTTTGAATTAATAAAAAATACCGTGGTTTCCACTCTTCATCTTCTTCTTGATTTTCTCTCCATTTCTTTGTGAAAAATGCTGACTCAATATACTCTAAGAGGGGGGTGAATTGGAGTTGAAAAATTTTCACCTCTTTGCAACCATCAAACAAAAATCAAAGAGAGAGTACGGAAGAAGTACGGAAGAAGAGCTTGCACAATAGTTTTATAGAGGTTCGGTCCAACCACTTGGAACTTGGAACCTAGTCCTGTACCTTGGCTTCACTCACCAAGGATTTCTTCCACACTCTCCATTAACAAAATCAATGGTGGCTTAAAGGAGCCACTCAATCATTTTATAAGAAGAAGGGTGTTTCTCTCAAATCTCACCCATTTACAAGATAAACCCCAAGAATCCTCTCAATAGATCACTCTTGAAGGAATAATCATACCCCCAAGATCACTCACAAATAAAACAAGAAGAGGATTACAAGTAAAGATCTCTCAAATATAAAAAACCTAAGTTAAAGCTCATGTAGGTAGGTAAAGATATTTAATGCAATGCTCTCTAAACTTGCTTCAGATATTTTACCAACCATATTTATAACCTCATGGTCGAAAATAGCCGTTACTAGCCGTTGGGGGTCATTTAATGCTCTTCAAGTCACTTAATTCAAGTTGCAGAATTGTCAGCATAGCCAGGTTACATTTTTAGAGCCGGCTTTGCGAGTTTCCTGCATTCTGTTTTCTCCGTAGAGCCAGCTTAAACATTCTGCAGCTAGCTTTGCGGGTTTCCTACACATTCTGTTTTCTTACATAGCCGACTGCAAATCATAAAGCCAGCTTTGGGATTCCAACTTTAAACACATTAAATAATTTTCAAATAACTCGACCATTATGCATTAAATGCACCTTGACAGCCGGCTGCAA